AAGCCAGGGAGAGCGAGCAGGTCCGGCCCTATCGCTGGAAGAATCACCTACTGTTCTTTGTCACATGGTTCTGTGGCTCTAGTTAGTTAGCACGGCATTGAAGGGGTGCAGGGCAGCCCGCACCCCTCCCGACTGTCCCGCACTGCTGAGACCCTGAGGTTCACTTGCGTTCAGTTCTGGGGCGCCAGAAGTGGCCCCCCAGTCAGTACAGTGGGGACGGTGCCCGGGGAGCATGGAAAGTGCAGCACCCCAGACCTGACCAAGGCGGAGACCTCAACTTTGATGAAAAGCTTCACGTGTGAGGTCCAGGTGGGCTGTGTTTATCACCAGGGACTGCGGGGAGCCGCGCCCACACTTCACTTTATGAGCGAGTCTTCTACTTAAGAGCCGCAGGCTCGATTTCAATAACACAGAGAAGGAAATGAGTAAGGAATCATCCTCTGAAGCCCTTCTGCTTAGAAACTAGAAAACTCATTGCAAGATGTGCAAATTTATGGTTGAATTGAAACAGAGGTTAGATGATTAAATTGCTTTCAGACCCTAGAGCACAAGAGAAAAGAAATGTTATGTCACTTTCTCTCCGAAGCTCGTATTCACAGATGCACTCATCTGTCTAGCCTGAGCAAGCCGAAGCAACTCCTGGAGCCGAGCTCCATGGCTGGCGGGGCCGGGAGGCCGAGAGTGCAGCCGGGCACTGTCCAGAGGTGGGGGCTGGAGACCAGGGGCTGCAGTTCTCCGAGGGAAGTCGACGTCTTCATGCGCGGACTGCCCTGTCATTGGTCAAAGAGCTTCAGCCCAGACCACACTTCTTTGCCTAAACGTCTCAGCTGATAGAATCTAACTGCTGTTCTCAGCCCAGGTTACCGTGGGCACACACGTGCAGCACACCTGTAGGCAGACACGCGTGTGCTTAGATGTGTGCACGTTATATGTGCACACATGTGTGCACAGGTGAGCTTCATTCCTTTCCTAACGGGAGAGGCAGAGTTGAGCCTTTCTCCTGTCTCCTTGCAAACGACCTCTTTTCTTTCCTCAAAGGCCTGGTGTGGTGACCATCTGTTCTGTGCACACTGGGTAGGGAGCCCATTGCTGGGTGACAGAAGCAGGAAGAAAAGGGGCCCCCTCAGTGCCCATGAGACTGTGTGAGCAGTGCTGGACCAGTTGCTCTTCCCAGGGATGAGGAGAGCAGACAGCTCCTTTCTCCCTTCCTTGTTCCTTTCGTGTCTGGAAGCCACAGACGGTTTCAAGATTGTACATGTTTTGTTTGCTTGCTGTTTACAGGGAGGACAGGGATTTCAAACTCAGGCGAGAAAGGTAATCAAACGGGGCTATTTTTAAAAACATGGTCCCTGCAAAGTGAGGTTGCCATGGGAATGACTTAGGTTGTTCAAAGCCAGAGTAATTACTGGGAGAAAATCCTGCCTCCCGCTTGCGCGTCTGTTTCCTGCATCACTTAATCAAAAGCACCTCCCCCCTTTTGTTATCAGATTTTTGTTTTTCCCCTTCACTTGGGATCTTTGATTCTTGGGGTCTCTGTTTTCCTGGGCAAGAGAAAAGTGGTCCTTTCTAATGTAGAAAGAGCCAGAAGTTTCTCTTGACAGGTAATTATTAAGGGAAAAGTCATATTTTATCACTCCTTTGTTTGTGTTAAAAGAATCACTGATAAGACAGATTCTCATTTTCTTTTAATTTTTTTTTTAAAACTGTTCCTCGAGGAGACACAGCCTCAGTGTATGGAGCAGTGCTGAGAGAGCTTTCACACACAGAAAGGCCTGGCTGTTCACTTGACACTGACTGACATTTTCAAAGGCAGCTAGGACTGTAAAGTCAATTTTCAGGAGCTCCCTGAACAATACTTTGTCAAAGGAGCCACAAGCGGTGTGGTCGCTGTTCAGGATTTCTGTTGTTTGCTTGAGTGTTTTTGCTTACAAGTGTCTTCATAAAAGTGAAAGGGATCTGCAAACTATGTATGCACTCCCCTTAAGTCCTCAATGCTGAAATTAACTTAAGCGGGAATTTCTGTTTTGGGTTTCGCCCACTCAATAGGAAGCGTTCATGGAGAAAGCCCAGAGCATGGGCCCTGCGGCTGGAAATGGCTGTGAGGGCAAAGTGAAGTCTACTTTTCTGGCAACTTAAAAAAGTCAAGGCTTTAAGAATGGGTGGGAGCAGGGTTAAGTCTTGTTGCTGCCATGCATGGGAAGAAAACAGGTTCTTCACAGCTCACTTTCTGCAGGGAGCAGTTGCCTAAATGATGGAGCTGTGAGGGGTAAATTCTGATCAACTGCATTTACCCTGAGTGGGCCAAAAGTACTGCACAGGGTGAAGGGCACTGACCTTCCAGGCATAATGTTTCCGCACAAGACCATGCACTGCGCATTCGAACCAACCGAGCTAACAGACTGGGGGCACTCTGCTCTTCTAAACCTTCTAGACACTTCTAGATACTGACTGGCTTGGATGCAACGGAAGCAGAGTCTGCCTATTCATTATGTTTTACGAGCTTATGAGAAAGATTCAAGTATAAGATTATAGCACAAAACTACTTTGGTCATCTACTTTCAGTAGCTAAAACTAACTGTTAAACCACAAAATGAAAAGAAGCCCCCAACAGAAGGGCACTAAAGAAGCCAGGAATGGCATCTCAAGTTCACTGCTCTAGAGCAGTAAAACGACGAGCATGGGAGGGAAGGTGCCAGTGCACCAGTCTCTCCTCAGATTCTCCTGCCTCTGCCCCTGCCAAGGACCTTCTACTCTTTCCCTCATCAACCACAATATACTCTGTTCGGGAAGCATGAGAAACATCAGCTGTTCATGGACCAATTCCAACTTTGCAGTTTCAGTGGGCTGTCGTTACTAATGACTGATCTACCTGTAACACGAAGGTTATAAGAGGGGGAAGAAGGCAGAGAGCAGCAAAGGGAGAGAACCCAAAGGTCGGTGTTGGAGAACTATGGGGCTCTGGTGGGCGTGGAGTGAAAACAAAGACCTGAAGAGCCATGGATCTGTGCCCCTGAACCACATACAGTGATGGAAACCAACCTTAACCTCAATAAAAAACAAAAAGAAGCTTATTGTGGATTCATTACTCTGGGCATGAACATCAGCTTGGCTCTTGTCCTGGAGATCACTGGTCATAACTACTTCCAGACCGGAGCGTCATTACACATCTCTGGTTGAAGGTCTGCTTTTCAAACACATTAAAAACAATGGATTCTTGTTTACAAATTCAATTTCAGACTGATTGGCTGAAACCAGGCCAGTATCCTCTTATTAACTAACCATAGATACAAAATTTTGCTGTACGGTATAGAGTTAAAATATAATATTGGGCAAGGGAGGCAAAAAGTAGAATAACAACAATCACAATCATAAAAGAAGAAAAGTCTTTAAGGAGAGTTACGAGTATGATGTGCAAAAGTTAAAAGCCACGTATGATCTCTATCAAAATTGAAGGCCAACTCAAACAAGAATCTCAAAGTACAGAGTAGCAATGGAAGCCAACCTTTAGGCTAACACAGGAGAAAAAGGAAGGCGATGGAAAAGTATAATTAATGCCTAGTCTGACAAATACCTAGTCTGCAGACTGAAAAGGCTCCCTCTTTTGGGCAGTGCTTATGATAAAATACACACAAGGTCTACACTGGTTAAGTTTCTACGTACATGGGGAAAGTCTTAAAAGTCTCCCCAAAGAAACAAGAAAACCAACCAACCAACTAACCAGCAAAGGAAAACCTCACTACTTTCAAATGGAAACGAAAAAGTCCTGACACTGATATCAGACTTGTCATCCACAATCTTGGGATCTGTAATACAGAGGAAGAACATCTGTAGTTGGCTGAAGGAAAGTCAGTAAGTGAGAAAATCCTTCAACAGGAAAAGACATATGGCAAAGGAATCATCGTCATCATTAAAACTATCACCACCATCATCGTCATCACCATCACTTTCTACATCCTCATCCACCATCGTCGTCATCACCATCACTATCTATATCCTTAGCATCACCACCACTGTCATCACCATCAGCTTTGTCACCATCACCTCACAATCATCATCATCATGGTTATTATCAAGAACAAAATCTCCAAACTACAGCAGGGATCAAGACATTGGAAGAGCAGTAAAGGGGAAACCTGAGTTTCCCCTGAGTTTCATTCAGGGAGAGTATGGGGAAAAAGAGTAGAGGAGAATAGCCAAGTTACTCTGGAAGCCTAATCATGGTGGGGTGGGGGGAGAAAGGGAAGAAGAAAGAATCCTGGAGGATGGAGGAGGGCTTGGTATTTCAGTCTCACAAAACAAAGAAATGGATAACTCCTGAAAGGTTTAAAGATGAGACTAGGACTTCCAAAGAGAGTATTTGCACATGCGTTTGGATTCTTTGGCAAACTCTAATCTTTAATCTCTTTTCTAAAAGCAATTAAAAAAGAGAAAGAGAGATTCTTTTCTTGATTCTTCATTTTGTAACTGTAAACTGAGGAAAAGAAATTCGTTCCCTAGCTACTTTTCAAATGATAAGAAACAGGTAGATCAGAGTAAGAATACGACAAGGTAGAGATCACTCGTCACCTCCTCAGCACTCAACATGTGGTGATCACTTGGACCCACCGTAGAGAATATTGCTCTGGTTAGTTTCCCTAGTGAGACAACTGGATATAAGCAGGGTCACCTGCAGAAAGGGACACAGGTCATGTGCAGAAAGGTGAGCAGCCCGGAGCGGAACCTGGACATCAGCGCTGTCCTCCCTCCCTGCAGAAGGTGCAGCCCTGGGAGGTGTCTAGGGACCTCACAGCGCACATGAAAACCTGACTCGCTCAAATCCACAAAACCACTTATGCTGGAGTTAAGGAGTTCTTCCACAGAGACAATTACTGTCCTCACTGCTCTCCTGAGAAGTCACCTTTCAGGACCCCCCCCCCAACCCACTCCCACCCTCACGCTTATGTGGCTCTTTTCTCGAACACACATGCCTAAGAGAAATGCAGCTGAGAAGCGACTCTTACTTTTTGGTCAATGTATTTGTTGTCTTCAACAGCAGATCTCTTGGGGTGATCGCAGGATGAGGCCGAGGCCGAGGGAAGGCTTCGGAGGAGACAGCAGCTGTCCTGCTGCTGGCGGTCGATGAACTGCTTCATGAAGCTTTCCCTGGGCACATGAAGCACACGTGTCAGGCCCTCAGGGAGCTGGGTCGGGAGGTGGCACCTCGCAGGGGAGTCGCCCTCGTTAAGGTAAATGTTCTTGGAGCGTAAGACAGGCCCACCAGGGTGGCATGAGATTTACTGTTTAAGTTTGTTGTTACTGGCGTGTACAAGAAGGAACGACTGAAGTCAATTTTGAGAACGCTTCCTCAGTTCTCAGCCAGTCCTGCCCAGCACAATGCCCCCGACATAACTTATCAGCAGTACTAGCCAGTAGTGGACAGCATCAGAAAATTCTACCGTGTTATAAGATTTGTTCTTCCCCTCTAATGAGTTAGCTCACCTTTCTGAATGTCTTCTTGTCCTCAGAATCTTTGGGAAATCATTTTACACTCTAAGACTCAAGATAACTCCAAGGAAACTTACCTCATCGTATCTCCAGAGCAAGATGAAAACCAAATCGCATCTTTTCAAATAAGTACTAGTCTTGCATTTATGAATTTATGACTAATTCATGGCTCTCTTATACTTCATATTTTCGGTTTTAAAATTAGCTTTGTAAGCTAAGAAATAAAAATACATTTATTTCCACTTGAATTTGAAAATGGCGACACCACGTCCCATCTCATGCACTTACAACCTCCTAGAAAAGCGCCTTTCAAACTAGGTAAGTGCAAAAGGCCACATTTCATGTTATTCTGGTTTGATGGAAGGTTTTTAGCGATAGCTGCAAACCTGTGATTTAATTGTGAAAACATAAGTGCTTTCAGGCATCCTCTATGCAATGGCCACGCTGGAAGGCAGAGTGGGAAGTCAAATCAGCATGAATGTGAGCACCGTGGCGCTTCAGCACTTCCTTAGGAAGGGGGAGACACATTCTAGGGGTGAGCAGACTCGGCACCACAAACAAGAGCAGCTACGGTAACATGGAAACTGGCCGGTGGCAGTTTCTCGTGTTCCTGAGCACGAAAGGGCCCCCGAGGCAAGTGCCCTTACATGGTTGACATCCACCTGCTACCTCTGGGACCGGAACCACTTCCCCACTACCTGGAAAGTCAAAGCCTTGAGGGGCATGGCAGGGAGGTGTGGTGGGTGTAACCAGCTTTCTTGGACGGTTCTGCAACCTCAGTTAAAAATTCAGTAAGTAATGAATCCCCCCTCCTGCCAAATAAAGCTTCTGCTCTTAATACGTTGCTTGGAGGGTTCCTGGTTTATTAAGGCAGAGGCAGGAAGGGAAGAGCATTCAGGTAACTTAAACACGGAGGAAAACCCCGCACCCGCATGGATATGAAAGAAAGGCTGCATCATATTCGAGATGAAACTGTTATAACACAGCTGAGACAAACAACTGAAGAAGTATTTTGGTACCTGATTTTAGGGACAGTGAAGTCGGAAGGAAGCTTTGAGATTTTCACCATTTGTGGTCTGTTTGGAAATTTTTCAAAGATTCGAAGGCGCAAAGGGAGCTTTTCTTTGGTGTCTGCATTTGCTTCACTTTGTTTTAACTAAAGAGAAAAAAAAAGACGAACAGGGGAAACTATTACCATCACAGACCAGGAATTTGTTGAGTTCAAGGCAAGTGTTGTTGCCTGAAGAGCCAGTAGATGGCAGCAAAGCCCCGCCAGGTGCAGGCTGTCGCCTGCCGCAGTAACTGGGCTCAAACTTGGCGCAAGAAGAAAACAAAAACAAACAAACTAGAAAAAAACTACAAGAAAAATCCATGTTGTCTACCCCCAAGTATTCCATCCCTTGTGAAACACATAGTGCTTTTTAGTGTTAACTGGTTCACTGTCACTCCTATAATGAAACAATAACATTTGTTTCATCAGTATAAAAAGATTAAAAAAGAAAAAAAAAAAAAAGTAAGTGAAAACCCCAAGTGGTGATTTGCTAGTAGGAACAAGGTCGAGAAAATCGGTCCTTCACTCTAGCAGATTAAAAAGAAAAGCTCAGGATGGACACAGTACATTCGCTACAGAAAGCACGAGCTTAACGCCGCCTCTTCAGTGGCAAAGATGCCCGGGAGCGACTAAATTACCTCTTCAGGTAGCTGTGCAGCAAGTGACAGTCAGTTCCACCTGTCTGTCTACCAACCAACCATCCTTCCTACTGCCCTGCAATTTCTACTTCCACAAATCCGGTTCCGAGCAGTGGCGGCTTCACACCACAAGCGGGGCCAGCTCTGAGCTGAGGAGACCAGCTCTGAGCTGAGGAGACCAGCTCTGAGCTGAGGAGACCAGCTCTGAGCTGAGGAGACCAGCTCTGAGCTGA